GCTTTATAAAGATAACAAAACTGTAATAAAAGTAATGAAAATAAAAAATAAAGTGGTGTATTATAATTAATATTATAAAGATAATAAAATTGTAATAAAAGTAATGAAAATAAAAAATAAAGTGGTGTATTATGATTAATATGCTAAAAGCACTTTATATTATTGCATCAGCTATAGATCAATTGTGGACATGTTAAATTTCATACATACTTGACTTCTGATTTGACCTAATTTCTTCTTTAAATCCTGTGTCTCATCTTCTAAACTAATGCGGTAACGTGATGTAACCTCCAGGGAAGCCTCTGACATAGACTGCTTTTTTAGGGTATCAGCCAGTTCTTGTTGAAGTTGTCTCACAACTACCTGATAAGATAATTTTTTGTTACAGATTTTATAAATCACCTTATTACCAAATGTCAATAATATTTAAATCTAACATTCAAAAAACATTCAAAAACAGCACTATATACATCGATTTACCTTCCTTTCCTCATGTGCACATACTCCTGTTTATAACTCATTTCAGTGAAGGACACAGAAGGTATTATCTTCCTATCAAATTGATATATTCCATTATTTAGACAACAGATTCAGCCCACTATTCATTTGTCTCTTGATGAATTTGCAATGCTTAACAATCTACCAAAGTCTCAAAAAGAAATAGGGATGCTGGTGGTGGGACTGGTGGTGTTGGTAAATTCTATGACACAAAATGTTTTCCCTCTTTTTTATTAGAAGCTCAAATCAACATTAGACTTCTTCATATAGTCAATCATATGCTCAAATGAGTCCTATCTCAGAGTCCTAAGAGTCCTATCTCAGAATAAAAGCAAAATTCTAATGGCCCTACGTGACCTAGCTTCCACCTCCCTCCGGGGCCTCAGCTGCTACAACTCTCTCCCCTACTTGCTCCATTCCCACTATGCATGAATCCTGCTCATTAGACCGAAAACGGAGATGTGATGACAAACTAATAAATCACAGATAGCTACAACTATCTTTGTATTGGACAAAGTTGTATCTAAATGGTAGTCATTGAGCCTTGAAATTATCAGCAAATTATCTGTAAAAAGATTCATGGTAAAGCATAAGTACCAGTGAGAGGATTAAACCAAATATGATTTTGCTAAAATATACCACTTAATTTCCAAATTATGATTTAATAGAAAGGTAGATCACTTTAAAGAATTGAGAGGTCATAAAAATACATAAATTGAGATTGATGGCCAGGCACAGTAGCTCACGCCTATTATCTTAGCACTGTGGGAGGTGAGGTGGGTGGATTGCTTAAGCTCATGAATTCAAGACCAACCTGAGCAAAAAGCAAGATCCCATCTCTACTAAAAATAGAAAAAATGGAGGGAAGAGGATTGCTCGAGCCCAAGAGTTGGAGGTTGCTGTGACCTGTGATAACATTATGGCACTCTACCCAGGGCAAAAACAAAAATACTTTTCAGATTTAAGTCAAATTAACATGAATAAAAGTAAAATAATACCAACTAAAATATATAAAAAGTTACTGAAGGAAAGTATCACAGGATCCAGCAATAGACTTCATCTGGGAAATCTCAAATTAACCATCAAAGTAACCCATTTAATTGAATCTGAATTTCAAAATACTCATTTCAGGTACGAGCACTTCTGTTTATCTGCTTCATCATGGTCTTGAAATGTGCCAACATAAAGACACTAAATATGTTATTTCAGCAGTCTAAGACTAATTGTTAAGATTAGTCTACAGCTCTTCACAATTTGTAATTTAACCTCTCAAAATTTCATAGGTGACACAATGTTTTTACCCAAAGTAAAGCAACTCTCAGCCCTAACTTTCATTTGGTGGAAACAAGGTATGTTTCTAAGCTGATACAGTAGATACATTTATCATCTATTTATTTTTATATTCCACTGACTCAACATTTATTCATAACCATTTTTTCTTTCAGGAAGTTTGAAAACTATTTCTCTTCCTTGATACTTACTTCTCTTTCTGCTTTCTCATTTTCGTATTGATACTGTCTTTCTTTTAAATGATTGCATTCACTGATTAATTCTTTATTTCTTTCTTCTAGCAGAATACTTTGCTTTTCACTTTCAGCTTGAAGTTTTTCCACTATAGCATGAAATTGGTCCTGGATATTAATTACTGTCTTTTCTTTACTATCAGCTTTGTTCTGAGCATCATCCAGTTGCTGTCGAAGCAACATATTTTCACTTTGTAGTTGAGATAATCTCTCCTCTACAGATTCCTGTTTTCCAATGTATTTATTCACTTTACCTTGTTCTTCTTGATACATCTGTTCAATTTCCTTCATTTGACTCTGGGTTTGGCTAAGGTCTCTTTGTACACGTTCTAAAACCAAAGTCTTTTCTCTGAGAGCATCTCTTGTGTGATGGAGATCAATTTCTAGGCTATTGAATTTGCTTTCAGTCTTAGAAAGTTGTTGAGAAAGAATCTCATTGTTATCTTTTAGGTTAGACAAATCAAAATTCATTCTGTCTTGTAATCGAAACCACTCATCTCTTGCTCTCTGGAAGGCAAGTTCTAGGTCTCTTTTTGATGTCTGACTTTGATCACAATCATGTACAGCAGCAGCCAGTCTAGAGCGGTATGATTCAACTTCTGCTTCCAGTCTTTCCTTAATCTGTTTTTCATTCTCCAATTTAGAATTTAGCATTGTATTCTCAGCTGTCAGAACACTGAGCTGTCCATTATGCTGGGATATTGTTTTTGTTAATGTTTCCTCATTCAGTTTTATAGTCCTTTGAAGGTCATCATTCTTTTCTTTCACAATTTCAATGTCCTCAAAATATTTCTTTTCCTTTTCCTGGTTCTGAATTTTTATCGTGTCTATTTCCAGTCTTAGCATGGCAATTTCATCCTGCAACATGTGATTTTTATGCAATGGGTCGTCTTCTTTTTCATGGCCATAAGAAGTCTAAAGAAATCAGAGGAAACTTTTAGCTAGCACTCAGTAAAATGGCATATCATAATTTCCTCTGTAATTAAAGAATAACCTGTATATTAATACAAGTGTTGCAATAAGTGGATATCCAAACAGAAAAACCATTGAATTAAAACATCAAAACCTTATACAGCATAAATTCCCTGGAGTTCAAAAATTTATTTGAAGACAACCACTATAGAATTTTTAAGAATCTCAGAATTGAAAATTCCATTCTCTGAATTACAACAAAACCAAAGGTATAAAAGATTAATAACTTTGACTACATTAAAAAATTTAGTTTACATTCTGCTATTTAACCTACATACTACTGTACAGTAAATGCTTTAATTCTGCTTATATTCTGATGAAAATTTCCCTAAGATCTAAGTTCCTTTTTCCTGAGAATATTCTATAGACATTCTACTTTTCTACTAACATTTTTATAGTCAATTATAAGAATTATATTTATTGAAAATTATATTTATTGATAAATCTGGCATTGTACTAAGAATTTCCATATACTCAATGAACTTATGCAACAGCACAATTTTGAAAAGAAGAGGTTGAAAATAAAAGCATTCTCTAGGATTTACCCCCAAGTCTTCTGATTCTAACTCTCACGCCAAATCATAGTTACTTTTCTGCTGTAAATATATATATATGTATATGTGTGTGTGTGTGTGTGTGTGTGTGTGTGTAAATACAAAAGAAGCCTTTTATTTCAAAACACTACTGGTAAATAAGATAAAATTTAGAGAGCTCTTCTTAGAAAATCGTAAGATTATTTTGTTATGTATAGTAACTTTTGTTCCTTTTCGTAATACTTGAAACAGTAATAAGTGTGAACCGGGGTTTATATTCATACACTGAACTATTTCCCTAGGAACAGAATATCAACAAATTATCACTATGTATATATTATGGCATATCATTATTTTCACAAGCTCTTGGTACTTTACCAAATGGACCAAAAATGCCACCTCTACTTACCACCAACCCCCCAATACATACATATATACATATACGCACATATGTACATGGTTTGAAAATCCTCTATCTGTTCCAAAATGCATACACTTGGACTTTTATACATTGCATATATACACATGCAAATACACAGATATACAGATTTTAAAATGACTAAAGAAAATACCTCAGAATCCATTTTCTTTTGAGACATTTCTATCTCCCTTTGTTTGCAAAGGTGATTGGTCAGAATCCCATCTTGTAATATTCTGGCATTCTGTTCTCGAGAAAGTTGCCTCTGAGTGTCATTTCGCTCTTGTACAACCTAGAGATACATTAACTTTTTGATCTAATAGTATTGGGGGGGAAAAGTCTAAAAGGTTAATCAGAAAAGAACCCTTTTAAAAATCTGTTAAAAAGGAAGTAGCCTATTAAAACACAATTATTTTTATTCCTTAAGAAATTTAACTGTATAAATTAAAGTAAATTCATCAAAAAGCAGAAACAGTCCTTAAATATAGTCAAATGTAGCACTGTGATATAAACTTCTTTATAAAACATTTTATGTTCATTATAATTTTAAAAGTATTTGGTCTATATTTTAACATAAAAAAATCTAAATTAACATTTATATTAGTGATTAAACTCAACTTACTTCCCATTCTTTCACTCAGAAAACAAATACTGAACACCAATTAGATGCCACAATTTATAATAAATAATCTTAGCTATATCATAGTAAATTTTCAAGATAAGATAACATTTTAGGTTTGTTTTAAACTGAAATAATACATACTAAATCAAAGGGATAAGTATAAATAATCTTTATGAAATAAAGTTAGAAATATAAAATTTTTACCAAAGCCTGATTTACCTGGTCCAAATTATTTTTTACAGTCCTCAATTCCATATCTAGTGTTCTGAGAGTGAGTTCAAGTTGTTGTTTCGCTTCAACTTCTTTCCTGTATTGCTCTTCTTTTCTTCTTAACTGTTCTCTATTTTTTTCATACAACATATCAGCATTTTTTCGCTTCTCTTCTTCTTGTTTTAAGGTAAATCTGCAGTTAAATGTACTTTTTAAAAATTTGTTTTGTTAGACAACAAAGCATTCATTTTATGATCTGGTTCTTTCATATATTTATTTTCCTAATAAAATGTTTATGTTTTTGAACATTTTTATTTTTATTTTTTTCAGGGTAACAGAGAGATTTTATTTAGGAAAAACAAAGAGAAAGTTTAGAGCACTTCCAAAAAGAGTTGGAAATGGGTCTCTCTCATGAAGGAGCAGAGGTGACAGAGATAGAGATGAAAAGGTCTGCAGCAGCATAAATATTCTCTGAAACTGGCTGCAAGTCTTTTATTGGCTTCTCCGCATCTCCAGCCAGTACTGCCCCTTTCTATTGGTCACTGATTGTCTTTTTAAAACTGGAAGGGTATCGTTTCTTGGCCTTTTGGCTAAGATCAAATGAAGTATCTGTTCTTATCAGTTTAAAACTGGAAGGAAAAAAAAAAACTGGAAGAGCACAGGCAGGGTGGATAGAGCACAAAACTAACAGAGTAACAGAGAGATTTTATTTAGGAAGAACAAAAAGAAAGTTTAGAACACTCCAAAAGAGAGCTGGAAATGGGTTCCTCTCATGAAGGAGCAAAGGTGAGAAAGACTCGTTCTTAAACATTTTTCCTTCCTACTTCTTAGGTTTTTAATTTCTTACTTCAATCTCCTTCAAAGGACCTAGATACTACAAAAATACTGAAAAAAGAACATTCTGCTAATTCATAAGTTTCTGTTACTAGTAACTCCTGTAAACATGGAAAAGGATAATCCTAGAAATTATTCAGTTAAGTTGAAAAGTACACTTTTTCCCGCATAGTCATAATTATACCTCAATTTGGATATAGTGTTTAGAGTTAACTAGTTAAAAAGAAGATGCCATTTATTGACAAGTTTACAAATTCTCTAGAAATAAATTTTCATCTTCTTTAACTATTTCAGGTATCCCTAAAAATGATTTACAATGTAAGATAGCACCTCCAGATGTCTTTCATACCACACCTATCTGTATATTACTATAATCCAAAACTAGGCTAAGTGTAACACCTGTTACCTCAACTTTCTATGTTTCTTTTTTAGGTATCACTTTCAAATTCTCTTCTTGATTATTATATATTTTATAAGCATTATGAACTCTCTTTTGGAACAAGCCAATATTTAATGAAACAATAAAGAATAATGTGTCTTTTGATATAGAATGCTGAACTTTTACTTGTATGGTAGAGAAAGATGTTGAATAAACTAATCAGTAATCACTTTCTAACTTAATTTTTACTTTATGCATATTAAGAATAAACCTGTATAATATTTTTCTTTTTTTTTTTTAAGACAGAGCCTCACGCTGGGTAGAGTGCCGTGGCATCACAGCTCACAGCAACCTCCAACTCCTAGGCTTAAGCAATTCTCTTGCCTCAGCCTCCCAAGTAGCTGGGATCACAGGCACCGCCACAATGCCCGGCTACTTTTTGATTGTAGTTGTCATTGTTGTTTGGCAGGCCTGGGCTGAATTCAAATCTGCCAGCTCTGGTGTATATGGCTGGCGCCTTAGCCACTTGACTATAGGTGCTGAGCCTATAATTTTTTTTCTAAAAATCATTGTGGCTTCCAAAAAATAGCCATTTCATACTCTATGGGTAGAATTATAAATTATATAAACTTTCTTGAGAATAATTTTAAAATATTAATCAAAGATCTTTTTAAAAGGCCAGGCAGGGTGGCTCATGCCAGTAATCCTAGCACTCTGGGAGGCTGAGGGCAGTGGATTGCTTGAGCTCAGGAGTTTGAGATCAGCCTGAGCTAGAGTAAGACCCTGTCTCTAAAAACAGCCAGGCATTGTAGTGGGTGGCTGTAGTCCCAGTTACTCAGGAGGCTGAGGCAAGACACTCTCTTGAGCCTGAGAGTTTGAGGTGGCTGTGAGCTAAGACACCATGGCACTCTGCCAAGGGGACAAAGTGAAACAGTCACAAAAAATAAAAAAGGTTATTATACTTTAACCAAGTAGTTCTATGCTGAAGAGTTTATTCAGAATAATAATTAGAAATGTAGAGAAACTATTCACAGTAAATAATTAGAAATGTAGAAAAAAATTACATAAAAGATGCTCCTTGCAGCATTAATTATAATACAAAAAAATTTTTAAACCCTAAATTCAATATTAAATAATGAGAATTCCATATAACCATTACAATTATGATTTAAAAGAATATATATGTATTTAATTATTAGAAGTATTCACAGATAAGAATTTGTTACGTTATTTCCTTCCAGGAATTTTATACACCACAAGACTAAGAAGTTTTCTCCCTTGTTAAACCCAAGAAGTTGGCTTGGCACCTGTAGCTCAGCGGTTGGGGTGCCAGCCACATACACCAGGGCTGGAGGACTTGAGCTCAGCCTAGGCCTGCTAAACAACAATGACAACTGCAACAACAATAACAAGTCACTGGGAGTTGTGATGGGCGCCTGTAGTCCCAGCTACTTGGGAGGCTGAGGCAAGAGAAATCGCTTAAGCCCAAGAGTTTGAGCTGCTGTGAGCTGTGATGCTACAGCACTCTACTGAAGGCAACATGAGAATCTATCTCAAAAAAAATAAAACAAAATGAATAAATAAATATCTAAACCAAAGGCCTATACCTTAAAATAAACAAATAAATAAACCCAAGAAATTTAAATCAGCAATTTAAAGTTCTCTTATATATCTTTAGAATAAAGTAGATAGTTAAAACATATTTTAAAACTAGGATATCATACCTCAAACTGCAGAGTTCTTGTTCCAGTTCAACTTTTTGATGCTCTAACTGTGATTTGATTTCTTTTGTTTCAGACAGCTCCTTTTGTATGACGCTAACCTTACTTTCCATTTTCTTAACTTTTACTGTAAGTTGTTCACAGTGATTTTTTTTAAGTTCCATTAATCTTTCACAGGAAAGAAATGCATCCTGGATTTTCAATAGGCTAACAGAATCTGTATCAAAGAGAAAAAAATAAAAATATATATGAGCACTTTCTAGGTAGAAAGGACTGCATATTTTAATATTCACTCATTCACACAGTGAGCAAATATGTATTTAGTGCATACAATGAGGAAGACATTACACTAATCTCTGAAGATAAAAACAAGACTTCTGATCTTGGTTAGAACAAAGACTATATTTCTGTATAATAGCAATAAACAAATTGAATTTTTTTAAATATCACTTATAACTTCATCAAAAACATGAAATATAGGCCAGGCACAGTGGCTCACACCTGTAACCTCAGCACTTTGGGAAGCTAAGGTGAGAGGATTGCTTGAGACCAAGAGTTCAAGACCAGCTTGGCCAAAACAGTGAGATCCATCCCATCCCTCAAAAAAATTTTATAAGAAATTAGCTAGGTGCAGGAGGCTGAGGAGGAAATATCTCTTGTGCCCAGGTATTGGAGGGTGCAGTGAGCTGCAATCACCCACTGCACTCCAGCCTGAGTGACAGAGTGAGATACTATCTCCAAAAACTAATAACAGGGGTCAGGGGCCAGGAGTGGTGGGTTACACCTGTAAATTCTACCACCCTGGGAGGGCAAGGCGAGTGGACTGCCTGAGCTAACAGGTTGTAGACTGGCCTGAACCAGAGTGAGACCCCAACTCTGGCTCAAAAAAAAAAAAGCCATAATAATAATGATAGGCCTTCGCCACCTTCTCCTTCGTGGGAGAAGTTGGCATGAATAGATCCCGAGCTCCAGTAACAGATTTGCGAGCCAGCTGGCCCTTCCCCCAGCACCTCTATCTTGGGGCTGTGATGAACTTTAGGCAATTCTTTGGAGTTATAGCAAGTGGAAAGAAACTTGTAAGTGAAACAGTAAAGAAGAATAAGAAAGGTTCAGCACCTGTGGCTCAAGTGGCTAAGGCACCAGCCACATATACCTAAGGTGGTGGGTTCGAATCCAGCCTGGGCCCACCAAACAACAATGACAGCTCCAACCAAAAAATAGCCAGGCATTGTGGCAGGTGCCTGTGATCCCAGCTACTTGGGAGGCTGAGGCAGGAGACTTGCTTGAGCCCAGGAGTTGGAGGTTGCTGTGAGCTGAAATGCCACAGCACTCTACCCAGGGGGACAGCTTGAGGCTCTGTCTCAAAAAAAAAAAAAAAAAAGAATGAGAAAACAAAGTCTGCTGAAGAAACATTAAAAACAAAGAAAGGAATAAAGGAAATTAAGGTAAATAGTTCTTGTAAACAGGATGTATCCAAGCACTAGCAACTAAACAAAATGATTCAGAATCAGAATCAGAATCAGAGGAGACAACACAGGTAAAAAATTCCAAAAAGTACCAGAAAAACTGCCAAGACTGAAGAGATAAGTACCCCATACTCAGAAGTGGCAGTTCACTTCACGTGCTCCTCCAGGAGAATGGTTTTGGGAAAGATTTCTTTGATGATTGAGTTCCTGCCTGCAGCCTACAGATATGCAGAGACACTCTCACAAAGTAATCTGGAGAGCTAGTCTGGGTTGCAGCTGGAAGCTTGAACACCTATACCTGAGCTAGTCCGGGTTGCAGCTGGAAGCTTGAACGCCTGTACCTGGGCGTTGGGTTCTGTTCTCTGACTGCTTCCTTCATTAACATTATAATCTCTGGTTTAGGTTTGGGCCAGCGAGAACAGATAGTCAGTCTCTTTTATGTTTTTACCCCAAACAAAATCAACTGTGTATGTATTCCTCAGCCTGGGCTCTGAGAACACTCTCACAAGACTAGACATGAAATTCACTTGTGTTTCATATACATCTTATGCACATAGTATGAAGGCAATTTTATATGATACTTTTAACAATTCTGTGCAGGAAACTAAGTTTGTGTACATGAGGTAGAGTGTGGAATTTTCCACATGTGGTATCATGTTGGCACCCAAAAGTTTTAGATTTTGGAGCACTTCAGATTTTGGGTCTCTGGATTAGGGATGCTTATCCTGAACAAAAAAAGCCAAATATAGATGGTCCCCAACTTAAAATAGTTCAAATTATGATTTGACTATAAGATGGATTCACTAGGATATTAAATGGATATGATCCTCATTGTTGATTTGAAGAACATTTGTAGATCAACAGAACACAATAGACATGTCAGATGTAGACCCACATATACACAGCCAACTTATTTTTGATAAAGACACAGTGGCAATGTAGTGGGAACAGACAGCCTTTTCAACATATGGTGCTGGAAAAACTGCATCTCCATATCCAAAAAACCAACTTGAGTCTATATTTTACACCATACACAATAATGAACTCAAAATCACAGATTTAAATAAAAGACCTACAACTATAAAACATACAGAAAAAAGCACAGGAGAAAAATCTTTATGATCTTGTGCTAGACAAAGATTTCTTAGATATGAAGCAAAATCCATAATTAAACAAATCAGACTTCATCAAAATAAAAAAAATGCCCTTCAAAACTGCACATTATTTTAAATTGCACACAAACTTTATGGCCACCCTGTATACTATAAGAGAATTAAAAGTCAACCTACAAACTAAGAAAAAAAAACAATCCCTGTAAAAATTAGAATAAATAAAAGAATACTATATAGAATATATAAAGGATTCTTAAAACTCAATAAATATAAAAATAAAAAGCTAATTTTTTAAATGGCAAGAAATTTGAAAAGGCAGTTTACCACATAAGATGTACAGATGACAGGCACATGGGAAGGTGCTCAGCATTATTAGCTATTAGAGTGATGCACGTTAAAACCAAGATGATACGCACTGCACACACCCATCAGAATGGCTAAACATACAAAATTTAAAAATGACAATACTAAGTGTTTGTGATGATACAGAGCAAGTGGAACTATCATATACCACTGATGGGAATGGAAAATGGTACAAATACTTTGAAAAACAACTTAGCCATTTCTTAGTAAGGAAATGTAAAGGAGCCTAAGGAAACTGCTGTGGGTGATGCATATGTTAACTATTGATTATGGTGGAGGTTTCACATACATCTGGCAAATCTTACACTGTACATTTTACCTCTGTGCAGTTTATCATGTATCAGTTACACTTCACTAAAGCTACTGACTACAGGAACAAACATCTAAGTCAATGGCTGGGACACAGCATGAAGGGTATGAAATGATACAGGATAAAGCTAGAGGACTGAGACCTTTAATCTTATAGCAATGAGAAGTGAGAGCTGGGTTTTAAACAAGGGGGTAACATGATGAGTCCTGAAATTTGTAAAGTATATGATATGGTTGCAGAGTAGACCAGTTTTGGGAGGTGGGGTAGTAGGGAAAACAGTTCTAAGATTACAGTATTCCAGGTGGGAGATAATGGTAACCTGTCTTTACCAGGTAATGATAAAGGCACAGGAGAGAAACAAAGTCAACAAAAAGACTGAGTGTGCCATTCACACTGAGAAAAGTACAGTGGCATTACTCATCATTGGCTGAGAGTACACAATATACAACGGTTCTCATTATATTTTAACATGAAGAATATTTCTAAAATGAACATCTCTATAATACTTTGGTGCTCTGCGGGGCACTGCTAAGCAATATGTGAAGAATACATACAAAGGTCTCAAATTTATGCAATAGTCCTACCTTTACAATCCTTTCCAAGTTGTTCAATAAGCAGCATAATATTCTTATAATTAGAGTAAGGCAACTCACAATCCTCTGAGGCTGTTTCGGATGACCGAGTTAAGTCATCAAGGTCATCCATAGAATATAATTGGTTTTTGACCTATAAAATGAACAACATTGTTTCCAAATGCTCCCAAAACATTTATTGCATATACTAAGTGTATAGAAGTGCTAATTAGCCATCATTTTATATGATCAAAAGCACAGGTATCGATTAAAGGAACTATTTCTTGTTAAAAGGTTGCCTTTATCAGTAGCTTACTGATTGTTTCTTACTCACTTTTTCAAAGTCCATGTCTTTACCAAACAAAATTCTCTAATTTTTCACTTTATCTTTATTTGGTTTTTTAACAGTAATTTTTTGCCAATTTATTTTTACAATACCTCGTTCTTTCCAGTAGATGTTTTCTTTGCAGGCCTAAAAAACAAACAATTCATTTGTTTAATAGTAATAGTAAATATATTAAAAAAAAAAAAAAAGAATATCTAAAACTATTTTTTCACATAAAATCTACAAATTTCTTATATATTTCTCCTATTTACATAGCTTATAGGTAATTATTTTACAGATAACATACATTAATTTTCTCCAGGCCGGGCTCATGCCTATAATCCTAGCACTCTGGGAGGCTGAGGCAGGTGGATAGCTTGAGCTTGTGAGTTTGAGACCAGCCTGAGCAAAGAGCGAGAACCCATCTCTACTAAAAATAGAAAACTGAGGCAAGAGAATTGCTTGAGCCTAAGAGTTGGAGGTTGCTGTAAGCTATAACATGACACTCTATCCAGGGCAACAGCTTGAGACTCTGTCTCAAAAAAATAAATAAATAAAAAATAATTTTATCCAAGGGGATTAAACTATGAACAGAAAGTAACCTTAAGGAACAAAGAAAACATACTACTACTAATATCATAACAAAGAATTAAATTTAGATCAAGCTTTCTGATAGTCAAAGCAAAAGGAAAAAGATATTATTTGCACTGTGATAAAAACAAATATGTCAGATTTTTTTTGTTATTGTCCTTTTCAATAAAGACAGCTTTTAATGGCACTAAAACCTATTTGGAAAATATTACTTATGTCCTTAAATGAGGGAAACCCTTTCTCAATGATGATATTAGTTTTTCAGGACTTATTGTATAATTGTTATGTGTTGTTCTAAGCCAGTGATTCTCAACCTGTGGGTCACAACCCCTTTGGGGGGTCTCCTGCATATCATATATTTACATTACAATTCATAACAGTAGCAAAATTACAGCTATGAAGTAGCAACAAAAATCATTTTATGGTTGGGGTACACCACAACATGAGTAACTGTATTAAAGGGTCGTGGCATTAGGAAGGTTGAGAACCACTGTAATCTAAGCACTCTACATGTGTAAAACTCTTTTTAATCCGCATGATGCTACTATCAAAGATACTGCAATATAGACAATCATTGAGGAATGTTTAAATTCTATTCAGTGTGATCTAAGTGTTCATTATTAAATTACTTTTTAAAAATCTATGATAGTTTATCTTTTTTAAAAATCTATGTATGATAGCTTATCATTTGCATGTTCATTTATATTATAAATTCCATTTCTGAACCAATTCTGAATGAACAAGTCCTTTACCATAAAACTATACAGCAATACATAAGACTATATATGTTCTAGGAACAATTGGCTACTATAAACCTTTTAAAAAACAACATATCAAGCTTTCTAATGCTTACACACACAAACACAATTAAATTTAATAAACATGCTTCTATATTAAAATAAAAAACAAAAGAAAACTCCTTTGAATACTATATTCTTCATAACTCATCACCCATTTCTCATCACCCCTTAAAAATTCTCCTGAGAGTCATCAGTTTATCCACTAGTCAGGGTTCCAGGGCAACCATTTATTGAAACTGCTCCTTGTCAAGGTCACCAGTCCTCATCTTAATCTTTCAACAGCATTGATATACTTGGGTATTCTCTAGCTTTGGCAGATTATTTTGAGAAAAAATAAGCACTCCTAACATTCTTTCATGGGAAAATAAAGAACTTCAAATTTTACCTTCCTTCATCTTCATCTAGCTCACTCGAACTGCTGTCATCATTCACCTGGAGCAGACCACCCATTAGTAAACTGGCCTTCTCAAGCACTGGTGTCATCACAGATTCTTTGGAGGTCCATTTTTCATTATCATTTTTCCTTACTTCCTTCATGTGCAAGGCAGGACCACCACTTTTAAAAAATCCATCAGAAAGCAAATGATTTCTAATAGTTATATTGACAAAGAATAAAAAACCAATTTTTTGTTTGTTTTTTATTTTTTTTTGGTAGAGAACTCCAACACTTCCCCATCTCAATTCACTTATTAATTCAAAATCAGTTATGAAGTACAAATAACGGAAGAAAATGCATATTCCCTGCTTCAAATAGGGTTAAATATACAGTTTTGCTACAGTATTATATATAAGACGAGATCTATGAAAAATTTTATGTAAGTATAAGGAAGGCTTTACAGAAAAGACAAAATGTAAGAGGAACTCCCCAGGCCAGAAAGTTGAAGAAAATCATTCTACTTAGAGAACAGAACATGAGCATCACGATTAGGCATATTGGTGTCTAGATGTTTCCAGGACCTTCAAAGGAAAAATGTAAAATATACAAAAGCAAATCAAGAGAGATGAATGATGCACTAAACTTGAATGCTACACTAAAAGACTGATGCTCACTGCCTATGAACAATGACTCTTAGACATGGGAGTAATAATCAGATTTGTGCTATAAGTTTGTTTTAAAATACAGGTGGCCATAAAGTTTGTGTACAATTTAAAATAGTGTGTAATTTACATAATAGTGTGTAACTTTATGTCCACCCTGTATAGTAATGTTCAATTTATTTATTTTATTTATTTATTTATTTAGAGACAGAGTCTTACTTTATTGCCCTCGGTAGAGTGCCATGCATCATAGCTCACAGTAACCTCTAGCTCTTGGGCTTAGGTGATTCTCTTGCCTCAGCCTCCCAAGTAGCTGTGATTACGGGCGCCCACCACAAGGCTCAGCTATTTTTTTTGTTGCAGTTTGGCCAGGGCAGGTTTGAACCTGCCACCCTCCATATATGGGGCTGGCACCCTACTCACTGAGTCAAATGCACCACCCAATAATCTTTAATTTAAATGAGGTTTTTAAAATAGCATGAGGTGGCTCAGCACCTGTGGCTCAAGCTGCTAAGGCTCCAAGCCACATACACCTGAGCTGGTGGGTTCCAATCCAGCTCCGGCCCACCAAACAATGATGGCAACCAAAAGAAAACATAGCCGGGCATTGTGGCAGGTGCCTGTCGTACCCACTACTTGGGAAGCGGAGGCAGGAGAATCACTTGAGCCCAGGAGTTGGAGGTTGCTGTGAGCTGTGATACCACAGCACTCTACCCAGGGCAACAGCTTGAGGCTCTGTCTCAAAAATAACATAAATAAAATAAAATGGCATGAGGCACATATTATAAATAAAATTGTTTACCTTTGTAGAAGTAAAAGCTCAAGCGATTCTCCCTCCTCAGCCTCCCACAGTGCTGGGATTACAGACGTGAGCCACTATGCCCGGCAGGAGGCAACTTTTAAACAGGAAAAAATCTGGGCAAAGTTGCTTCAAACTTCAGAAAGGACTATCTGTAGCCCTGGTAACAATGTGCCACCCCAAACCAGCTATAAATCCAAGCAATCAATGACCACCGGCCTCACTCATCAACTCATCAATGTCAACCACTTACTTCTGAAAGACAGCCAATCAGAGACAAATTCACTCCAATAAACACGCCTGGGAGTAAGCAATCATTACCATTCAAGAACATTCACCAACCACACTGCTACAGATGATTCCAACCCACCTCTCCCTCTGAAAGTCTGATAAAAACTTCACTCTTCTCAAACCCATGTAAGACCAGCAGCTGCTCTATCACAAGAGACTATACATGACCTGCTCTTACTATAGAAACAAGACATTCCAACTGTCTTTTTATTTCAGATATTAAAGGCTCTCTCCTTTCAAAAGAATTTAAGTCCATTCAATTTACCATCCTTATATTGCATTTTTACTAGTAAAATACAAATGAAGTTTAAAATTCCTTTGATCCATAATTAAAACTATCATAATTACCAGTGTACGAATAAATAATGAGTAATCATAATATTGGGCCTTTCTCTCTAGATGGAAAAAACATTAATATGGAAAATATAGGTTATAGGGAAAATATAGATTATTAGAAAGAGCCAATAGAATCCAAGGTCTCACTATTGCTCAGGCTGGTCTCAAACTCCTGAGCTCAAGCAATCCACCCACCCCAGCATCCCAGAGTACAATACATTGGAAATATTCAGATTAATTTGAGGGTATAACATTTAATCACTGAAGTATTGAGAATAAAAACCAAAAATTTAATAACTAGCAATTCTGTCGGTAACAAGGTAGAGTATCATGGCAGCACTAGCTTCCTTTTCCAACTCAATATATATTTCAAGAATTATAACAAAATTGGCTTAAGATATGTCATCAAACTAAATGCTTGAAATATACTTTGCGAAAAAATCAGTATACTACAGATCTATCCTTATTTTTTAAGTGGCTGCATAACACATTATGTTACAGATATGACAATTTAACTACTTTCTTATTGATGAGTATTTGGGCTATCACCAACTTTATGACATAACAATGCTATACCAAATATTCTTAACATACATATACATGTAACATCATATTTACATAAGTATCCTTAACATACATGTATTACATATCCTTAACATAATGTTATATATACAGTAGAACCTCCATAGTTGACCACCTTCTTAAGTTGACCTAATTTTCATAGACCATGTATATACCACATAAACAAATCAGTAGAGTAGGCCTAGTTTCTTATGTTGACCACCTCCGTATGTTGGCTAGTTTGTTACAGTCCTTTGGGTGATCAACTTCCAGAGGTTTAACTGCATTTTATATATTTAGAGGGTGCCAAAAAAATGTATATACATTTTAAGAAACAAAAAAACTGTATTAAATTTGCAACACTCAAGTCACATTTGACTTCTGCAATTATTAGATGTGCTCAATGTGATTTATACTCATCTTTTGTTAACAGTACATATTGTGTATTATAATTTTAATACTATTTTTCCTTTTTTAAAGTGTGTATACATTTTTTTGGTATCCTCTGTATAGATATCCCTATTATGTTATATACATGTATAATATATAATTAATGTCCTTAACATGTGTGTTAATATAAGTTGTGCTTTCCAGTAGGACCTAGTCCCAGAAGTGAAGCTAATAAAAAGAATGATATATTTGAAATTTTGATACATGCTACTTACTAAATAACCCTTCAATAAGGACTTATCAATTTCATTCACCAGCAGAGAATACAAGAATGCCTTTCCCATTTCCACACTGATTATTATTTTTATAGTAAAATATCAGTCTGATTGGAAAAAATGTTATCTTGTTGTTAACTTGCACTTGTCTGATTACTAGGCAAGGCTGAATATCTCTAGTAAAAGAGATATAGAATTTGTTAATCATGAATATTAACCCAAATTAGAATTAGTTTTATGCTACAATAACAATTTTCTACTGCTAAATATTGTTATGGTCTTACCTATCACACTTTTCTTTCTCCTTCCTAGTAAATTGCTGATTATCAATGTTTCCAGTCTTTCTTTGTTGAATTAATCCACCATCATCACTATCAGCAGCAGCACCATCATACAGGTTTTCTGACACCTGCATTTCTTTACCTTTGTGCTTCTTCCTTTCTTCTTCAACCTTTAATGAAAGTTTGATATGAAGGATAATTGTTACTACCTTATTCAACAAACAGAACTCTTTTCTTTTGGTTGAATTTAACACCTGACTCAGTTTAATTGCCATGATTTTAGTGCCACGCTCATCATTATATATAATCATATCATAGTTAGATGATATAATTATTATAATTTTATCATTGAAATTTTTGCAAATTCTGTTTCATTTAGGTTTGAGTGAAACAGAATTTTCCAAAATTTCCAAAAGGATTCTTATTGATATTGTGCTTTTATTCCCATCCACTCTTCAGTAACTCATTTGAATTTTCATACTGTTTGGCAGAACCAGAAAAAGACACAAAATGTGTCATCTTCTGTCTTTACCTCCTGGACTTTACATTAACAGCCAGATTTAGAGGATGTGACATTGTCAGACTTGGTGTTTCTGCACTAAGGTATTCTTTTCCCTACTGCTTTCTATCATTCGTCTTTCATTTGGATCTTGGGATATCAAAATAGAAGGTGCTCACTGAAGCTGTAACACAAGAAGCAAAGCGAAACTGCTGAGTTGCTATGCTGGTATAGAATTCTGGAAAATGAGATGCTCCCAAATTTCACATTCAGTAAGCATACAATTATATAGCTGGAGGATATTCAGCATAAGTAATTATCTACTTTAGCCCTGCTGTATACTGATAATAGGAGTAAAATCAAAAAAGATTAAATGATTCTTCCATAGCTCCTGAAGTGTATTAGCTAACATTTATAGTACCAAAGAGATGATACAATTCCATAATGCTGAGCCAGATAAATTACCAGATAAGTTCATCAAATTAATCAGATAAATTAAAAGTGTGACTCTGGCAAATACATTGTATGCCTCAGCAATGCAATGGGAAACCTCACCTGCTTTTATTTTTTTAATTTTTAATTATTCTGGGTATGTTACAGTTGTGTGTGTATGTGTGTGTGTGTGTGTGTATGATACACGTGACGTTTTGATACAGGTATACAATGTGAATTAATTAAATCAGGGTAATTGGGGTATCCATCAACTCAGGTTATTTATCATTTTTTTGTGTTAGGAACATTCCAATTCCATTCTTTTAGTTATATGAAAGTATGCCCTAACTTATTACTGATTATAGTCATTTGGTTGTGCTACCAAATATTGCTCATTCTGTCTATTCAACTATATTTTTGTATTCACTACTCATTCCCACTTTATCCACAGCCTTCCTGCAAACCTTTTGAAGAAGAATATCCCTAGATTTTTGTCTATCTTTAAAACTCAATATATTGACTGCAGCTTTCTATTTTGGAGTCAAAACTTAAAATTTTTGCCTAAGAATTTATGCTACTTATGGAGTAAAATCATGCATGCCAAAATCTACCTTCCTTCATTAAATAATAACATAAAGAAGATCTTATTCAACAGCAACATTTGAGAGTAATGATTACAAAAAATACGTGCTTTTTAAATAGCTAGGCACCATCATGCCTGGCTAACTACTTTTTTTTTATCTTTTGTGGTGACAGGGTATCCCTGTTTTGTTCAAGTAGTCTCAAACTCCTGTCCACCGGGGCCTCCAAAAGTTCTGGGATTGTAAAGCAATCCAATATGCCCAGCCAGATTTTCATTTTTAAAAATGAAAATATAGAACTGATTTAAAAGAGCACTACATGGGCAGCACCTGTGGCTCAATGGAGTAGGGCACTGGCCCCATACATCAGAAGTGGTGGATTCAAAAACCCAGCACCAGCCAAAAACTGCACAAAAAAAAAAAAAAGAGTATTACATTTAAAAGTGGAAGTGTATGTATTTGTTGTCAAAAATATCTAAGAGGTCATGGTAGAGTTATAAGTTCCAGCAGTTTGAGATAAACAGATAAACCTGCACACATAAAAGCACAATATACAGATTCCTTTAGCTGGGAATATTTCTTGCAAACCTCAAAGCTAGATACAGTTTTATATCTCTTCTTAGTCACCACTTCCTTCCTATTGTATTCCCACTTTATTGTTTAAATAAATGAAATTCATCTTTAAGTAAATGGGGAGGAGAAAAACCCTATAGCTCATTGCCTTCTCTTTTAGCAATTACCTTTATGCTTAACCTAGTTCTGAAGGCCATATAGCATATGGCTATTTTCTCAGCTCACAGGACAGTTAGAAGACTGATTGAGATACGTGGGTTGATTATGGAACAAATATTCCAAGAATATTTTCCTGAACTACTTACTATCAGACTGCAGAAATAATCTACTTCTATATACAATTATGTATTTATATAACCTCATTCTACACAAGAGTTTTTCATAAGTAAAAAATCAGACTTAGTCAGAAAAGGGATACAAAGAAAAACAAAGAGTAGCAGCAAGTAAACCTCTACCTCTTTTTGAAGTTGAAATTTTTCTTTCTCCAAAGCCAGGAACTCTACTTTTAACATGCCTATCTCATTCTTAAACCTTTGCATATCTTGCTGCAATTCTTCTTTTAGATCTATTTTTGATGTTCTGTAGCTATGTGGAGGGGAAGAACTCACATTTTCTAATTCAGGTTTCATGCTTTCACACTGATTAGCACTGCAATTATCATATAATGACTTCTGTAACACGTCTTGTATTGACTTTGTTTTCTTAGAAGTATCTGTTACAACAGAAATACTGTGCCATTTTTTTTTATTCAAAAGCTTCATTTCTTTGGAAGGGGTAAGCCAGAAATCAAAAAGACTTTTTGAATCATTATACTGAGGTATATGTCCAATGTCTAATTTCCAATTAGTGGTATTTTGGTTCATACTTTCTGTCATTTGCATTTCAAATTCTTGGTCTTCTTCCATTTCATCTGCAACTACTTCTGGGTTCCTTACATTTTTAGTTTCTGTATCACTGTAAAAATTTTCACTTGTGTTAAAAACATGTTCAGTGTCTGGTTTGTTAATATTTCCACTGTCAAATTTACTTTCATTTAAATAAAGCTTAGATGATGACTGGCAGGGGTATTCCAGGCACTCAGAGTATGAAGAAGATGGAAAGCCATTTTTGAAACTAGATTCTTTCGGTTCCGGAAATGCCTGAAACACCACACACATGGTAGTATCTTTTCCCTCAAAATCAAGTATATTATTTGTCAAATTAGAGGGCATTTCCTTTAAGTTTGCGCCTCCCTTAGATTTATGCAGTGGCTTTTCCTCAGGAGAAGCAGAAATTTTATATTTTTCGCAATTTTCACCACTCTTTGGCTTTAATTCATTTGTGATGAGTTTCAATTTATTTTTCCACTCTAACTTGCCTTGTTTGATCCACATTTCCTCATCCTTTTGCACACAAAGAAGTCTTGAATGTGCAGATATATTCTCTCTATCACAATTCTTATTCATTTCTGATTCTTGAGACATTTTTTGCAGATGTAAATGTGGAACATTAGTTTGCTTGTTTTGTTTCTCAGATGTCTTTTCTGTCGGGGTGTATGTTTTTAAAATAACTTTATCCTTAAGTAATCAAGTATGGACAAAGAAAAATTAGAAAATAATTAAAAATTAACTGTTAAACTTCTTAATCTATGTTTAGCTACCTCGAGTTCACTGGATTGAAACTAAGAAGTAAAAATAATTTGCTTTATCCTAAAATAGGAAAAAAACATGAACCAGAAAGCTTAACTTTACCATTATTTGTTTAGACTAAACTTGATTCATTTTGTGTTAAAATTACACCAAAAATGAATTAGCAGATGATCTGTTAGTATATATAGTATAATAGAGGCATCCTCCTTTTAAAAGATTTTACCTTACAATACTTTAAATAGTGAGCTACTACAGGGCACTTCAGAACTGTTTCTAAAGCCTAACTGAGAGTGGGTAAATTTTATATTATTATGGGACAGAA